TTACATAATAATGAACTTAACAGCTTTATGATTTAAGTATTGAGGTGAACAAAGAGAAGTGTATAATTTAAATAGAAAAACTATTTTCCAATTATATCTATATTAAATCAAATAGAAAAAGAATGCATTTAATGATACACTGTAATTCTAAATTGTTCATGAAGGAATAAAATGATCATGAAAAATGTGCATTGAATGTTAACTCATTTTCCCAAACTTTCTCATGATGAGGGAAAACAAAACTCAAATTCAGAAGAGGGCTTTACTTACCCCTTTGCTTTCTCATGTGCTAAGCAACCATTTCTCATGCCCGGATTTACCAAACATAAAAAAACAATTGATTTTACATCCACAAACCTCCTTTTCCATTAACCTGAGACCTACATGTCATGGACATTTAAAAAAAGAAAAGAAAAAAAAACCTCATCGTGGGCTTCTTGTAGCTAGTGCATCATCTCCTGGAAATCAAAAACTTCGAAAAGGTAAAAAGGAGACGGCAAAAATATTTCTTCAGCTGTATACTGAAGCAATAAGCTGTAAAACTGGAAAGGGAGAGCTTTTTAAAATTGCATGTCTCCAGTACGCGCTGCAATGAAACCGGGAGATCAAACTCTATATAGACTGAGGTTTATATAGTTTAATGACTTATCGTGTATGTGATTCAACCATTTTACAACAATGACGAGCTCACACACATAAAGCCCCTGGGTGCTTAAATTTTACAATGCCTGCATTTCCATATTGGTATGCCCGTTGTTGTCAGCAGAGGGCGGTGCAGCAGAGTCCTGGTCGTTGTCATCAGCAGGCTTCATTTGTTGAACAGGGGGAGGGTTGACGACGGTCATTGGCATCACAGCGTTGTCCGATAGGCGGCCCTTCCTCTCCCTGTGCTCCTGGCACAAGGCACACCAGTGTAAGCAGCAGTGGGTCAAGCACGGGTCACACGGTGAGTTCTGCAGTCAACAAGACAGCTTAGCATTGAGCATCATTCGGTTAAGAAACATATCTTCCATAGGACATCAATTAGAGAAATGGAGAAGAAATAAGATTACCTTCAGATGATATTTTTTCTGTAAGGATTGGCGAACAAGTCCTGTGTATACCCCACACATCCACCAAGAAAATAACAGACCCTCACAAATAAGAAACGAAGTCTTTGGGTCAACCCCATAGAAGATTGCAGTTCCTGCTGCCAGAGCCATGCCACCTTCAATAAAAATGGCATGACAAATGCATGGTCTCGTCCAAGGGATATCGTCTCTTAAGCTTTCAACATTATGCCCAAACAGAACACATGGACAAAAGAGCCCTGACAAGCCTGAAGATGTGAAGAAACACAAAATTATCAGTAGACTATTTTCGTGTTGCAGTAAAACCAAATATTTGAACCAGTCTTAATAAGGAGTAGTAAGAGCAAGGGAGTTCGTGCTTATCCATCACAAGGACATGGTCAATTAATTGAATGGGCATAAACATCCTACTTGATAAAATGTAATAAGAGAATGTGGAACGGTGCATTGCTAGAGTTGAGTAACATATTTCAAAGTTTAACGAATAAGTGAAAAACCCCTATTGTGTGGGCTTGCTTATGTTTCTAAGCCACGCTTGAGAGACACGAAATCCCTATAAAAAGAAGGTATCTAAAAATAATAAAAAATCAAAGATAAGCATAAGCTTCATGTACAAGAGATGAAAAGCAAGTTCCCATATCGACTTACAACTTTCTCTATCCTCGGCACAGCCAAAAATTCCAGTTGTCCAAGGTTCATCTGCAGGGGGCTGATAGCTTTCAGGTAAAGGTTGTCCACATTCGTTACACCTGTGAACATTCAACTGCCCCATAATACACCGGATTAGTTGGTGTTTACATCCTTATCCAAGACTAACCTCCAATGTAGAGAAAGTCACATGTAAAATTTAGAAACTCATTAGCATCTACCCCATAAATCTGCAATATAAATGTAATTTGTAACCATATTCAAGTTGTAGCCAGAACCATATAGTCGCCTTTTTATTTGGAAGTCACACGCATCCTCGATCTATATAGGCAAGCAGGTTAAAGAATGCAAAATGATAAACTTATAAGTTAACAGAATTTCAGATCCGGCCAGTTATTTAACGTTCCAAAGATTGACAATGATACAAAGGTTTTAACTATGATTTCAAAAAATCTGATTTGCAAAGTTCCCCACAAAACGTACAAAGGGCATTAGAAACATATGAGGTCACTGAAAAAATACGAAAATCCCAAAAATTATTTACTATAAAAAACAACACAAATCAGCTAATTTTTTCTTTAAATTTATAAGGCATATCCTAAGTTTTAACGAAAATGCAATTCATATATAGGAAAATAAATTCATATCAGTAACAGAGATTTCAGAGCAAACCTATATATATAATTAGCAAAAATTATGAAAAATCAGACAAGAGAAAGCGCGAGAAACCTGAGGAACTTCGATGGGTTGATTGAGCTCCCCAGGCTTAATGTCATCCACAGGCGCTTGATCTTTCGTCAGCTTCACATAACGCGAGTGCCCAGTTCCATCCGCCATCTGATCTGATCTCTGACACCGCTCTCTCTCTCTGTTTGGTTGCTGAGAAAATGCAAGGAAAGTGTGCTCGGAAGCGGGGAAAATTGGCTATATAAACTCTCCCTAGTTTATCATATTACGCGAGTCAACTTTATCTTTGAGTCTGTCTTGACGCTTTAAAGAACTTCTTTCTTACGTTAGTAATTTCCGCTTTAGACGGTTAATTTACACGTGAATCACCGCCATGTATATCAACGCTTTTCTCCGTCGTTTAGATAGTACGACTTGTCGTTTTCCACCGACAGCCTTGGTTACATACGACATGTCGTTTTTGTAGCCATCATATGAGACATGTAGCTTGAGAGTAATGCGCTCCATCGTTACCAGACCAATCCCAAACATTTCCTTATTATCTCAACGTAAAATCAAATTTGAGTCATGCAAAGCATCATTTAATAATGTTTCTTCATTACATTATAATTTAAATGAAGGGTTAGTGATGATCTTAGATAGAAAGTAGAGGATATAAAAGGTCGATTTGGTTCAAGGTTTAGAAGTTCATAATGGTCTGAATCTAATTTACAGAAAAGTAAATTCAAACTTGGTTGCAAGTGGACGAACTTACTACTTTGACCAATTGGTAACCTTGTTTTACACATTTTCTCTCTCTTATAGGCAACTCAACAAAACCAAAATCCAAACCCATGATATGGAAGTGCCATGTTTTTAGACAATTCCTTGGTAAATTTATCCAAAGGCCAATAATATGGAAAGAGAAACAAACAATGCTAATCATATACCTTCAATAATGTTTCATAATCAGAAGAAACCGCAGGCATAGCAATTGTAATAGTCAGTCCTACTTTGATATATATTTGAACGACGGGGAGGCCCAAATGGACAAACTTGACTTGAATGAAAATTAGCCAGGGCATGAAGAAAGCTTTGTTGATAAATTGAAACATCTAAAACCATTCATAGACATAATTAAACTCGTGTAACTAGTAATGATGCACATAAGCACGTCTTAAGCCAATGAGATTTATTACTTCATCAACATGGGTTTTCTTGAAACCTCATGAGGGCCAGTTTCTGTACCAACCAGCCCAAGCAGAGACTAGCCCACTGATCCCAAGAGTCACGGTGTGGTTGCAGAAGGGGTTAGGCTCAATATCCGCCACTGCAATGAACAAGTCTGCAACATTAGCTGCAACTGCCATTAACCTCATCACTCTATCACTCCTAATCTTTCTCAAACTCTCAATCTTCTTGTCTCTGGACTTGTTGTCCTCCAAAGCACCAAGCTTTCTCTCTGCCTCTAGCCCCTCCTTCAATGCAATGAAATCAGATATGATGAAGAAGATATATCCAAACGACTCACCAAAGGCTGATATAAAACTCATCTTCCTGGCCAAATTTGGGTTCAGGGTTCCAATTCTAGAGAGCCAAAGAAAGTGGTCAAAAAAGAAGTAGACCATTTCCCCTGCATTAGCAAGAACAGCAAGGAACCGAAGGGTAGGCGTGGAGCCAGGGCTTCTTCTCAATGCATTGAATCCTGTGAGAAACCGGCCGGTTCGAAAAGCCTTCCGGCTTAGGCCAGAGGCAACTTCCCACTGCTTTGCTCTTTGAGCAATTTCTGGGTTTTTAGGCTCAACATGCCAGTGGACAAGCTTAGAGACATACTGGAAGGTCTTAACAAGCTTGTCAATGCCATCTCTCTTTGCTAGGAAGATGACCAGTTTGTCCACTGTATCATTATTCATGATTGAAAATTGTGAGAAGAGAGGGTTTGGTTGTGGTTGATGAAGAAGTAAGAATTGTCGTTGGTTGATCAGAGAATTTGGGTTAGATTACTAGAACAAACAAAACCAAGGAGCACCACAAAATTAGTTGCAGGATTTTGGATAATAGCACATATATGCTTGTGGCTGGACCTTGCTATGCACCTTGCTACCAGTAGTTTTTGTGTCATCTGTTCTGGTTTTTTTGTATAATTTTCCAACTCTAGGCCTTCTTGTCTTTAGCAGAGTCAACAGTCCAGTCCTTGTCACCTCAACACAAGACTCCAAGATTAGTCTCCACCTTTACATTTCCATAATTTTCTCTCCTTCGTCTGATGCATCAGAATTGTGTACCCATAATTGTTCCTCAAGTCCCATACACTCTCCATGATTTTATGTCCCTCCGCAGAATTTTAGCAAAGGGGTTCTGATTTCTTAGTTGAATAATGTAATGAAAACATAACCCTAAATCTTGTTTTTAAAATTTGGCTCAAGTGATATGGGATGTGTAGCAACTAGCTTCACAACTTATAAATGTGTTGATATGTTTTTCAATTATTTATATCTTAATATAGGCTATTATTTCAGTGCAAGTATTAACTAAAATAAATGTGTTATAAGATGAATTAACTGTAACGGCCCATGTCACGGTCACAGTGAAGAACCAAATTATTACCAGTAGTACCCTCCACATATACCACCACCACCACCTCCAAACTTACCCCTTTCTCCTCTCTCTCTCTCTCTCTCTCTCTGTCTTTCTCAGATTGTTCTAGTCCTTCCTTGGTGAGCAAAACCCTAGATGGCCTAAAAGCAATAGGACCAATTTCACTGCCCAGTCCTCACCACCCTCACTGATTCCTCTGGTGCAAACCCTTCTGAATTTATTCTCTCCAACCCAAACCAGTCTAATTCTTATCTTTCTTAATTTCAAATCACCACTTCGCCATAGTCATGGACGCACAGAGAGCTCTGCTAGATGAACTTATGGGCGCAGGTATTTCCTATAAACCCTAGTTAATCGTTGCTTTGCTACCAACCTATTTGTTTTTGTTTCCTCGGGCAATTGGAAGTTATGATTTGGTAAATTTGGATTTGTTTGAAAAAGATAACTGTTCTAATGGGGTTTGATTATTTTATTTGATATTTTTTTTGTTAGTATTGCTTTAAATTAACTTTTATTGATTTTGAGTACTGGTTTCTGGTGAATTCCAGCTCGGAACTTGACGGAGGAAGAGAGAAAGGGGTACAAGGAAATTACTTGGGATGATAAGGAGGTCTGTGGAGCCTATATGGTTCGATTTTGTCCTCACGATCTGTTCATAAATACCCGAAGTGATCTAGGTGAGTTGCAATTAAAATTCTTGTTCAAATTGACTTGTTTTAAACTGTGTTTTTTTTTTTGCTGAGGAAGTACGGGAAAGAAAATAAGACCCAATGCTTAAATGATGATTAGAAATCTCAATTTCTTTTGAATCATATACTTCATTTGTGTTTGCACAGTGCATGGATTCACTTACTGTAATTTTTTGTTTTTGAATCAGGCCCCTGCCCTAAAATTCATGACCCAAAGTTGAAAGAAAGGTGATTAAGTGAACATTTAATACAGTGTATAATTTTTCATTCCGGAAATGTTATTGAGGTTTCACATTGTGCTTTCTACAGTGTTTTTGTGTGCATTCAGTTTTGATGCAATCAAAAGGGGGTCATTTGTGTTTGTTCGTTAAATGTTTTGTCATGATTTTATTGAAAGCTACACGTCATTTTGTAAAGTTGAGCATGCTTAACTCGCAATACTTACAACTGATGATCATTTTTCTGCTTCTGTTGTAAGATTGTTGCTTATCTTGTCTTCGTATGAATAAGTTAGCTGCTTTATATGTGTGATGTAGGGTGTAGGATGAAACTTTGATATGCCTTACATGGTATGCTAAGCGGTTGCTGGTTTTTTCTTTTTGAGGTAACTGATTTAAACATTTTGATAAGATCTTTCCGAGAAGGGAAGAGGAATCTATCAATTTCCAAGTCAGAAATTACTAAGTAGTAGGACAGGATATAGAGTGATATGTTTGATTAGTGATGATCTGCTGGATTAGATCATTCATATGCTTGGACCATTAGATCATTCATATATGCTTATTGCCATAATTATTGATTTTGGGAGACAATTATGACATGCTTGACAGTTCAGCTAAAAGCAGTCAGTGATGATCTACTTTTTTCCCCCCAAGGGGTTCTGTTCCTAGTGATTGGACCTTTTGTCAGCTGATTTGTTTCGTTTTTATTACCTCTATACTGTTGGCAAATAGATATTTTTGCATGAATTATCGGAGGAAAGGGTATATAATTGCTAACTTTACGAGTCTAAGAAGAATGTCTAGATGGTTTTGGCGAAACTCGAACTTCTATTTTCGACCTTAGGTGATGGTCAGGGGTCATTTAATGCATTCTCCCTTTTCTTTAGTTCAAGAACTTACTGCATTTCAGGTATATCATAATTTTAATATCAAAATTCAAGGCACCAGAAGACTACAGATTGTCCAGTTTTTTTTCACTCCTCTGATCATGTCCTCCAGCTCAAAACCTGTTGCTTTTTACTTTTGTTTACAACCTTTTCTTTTTTCTTTTCCCCCCGCTTTCAGGATGTGACTATACATTCTATTTTAATTCTTCATGTCATTGATTTTAGTTTTGAGGAGTCCCCAAGGCATGATGCATATGTGCCCAAGTTTGAAGCTGAACTAGCTCAGTTTTGTGAGAAATTGGTATGTTACACATCTCCTGTTGGTCTTCATGATCTCTATTTTTTTTTTCACCTATATTTATTGGTCATATACTACTTGCATTGCAGGTGATGGATTTAGATAGAAGAGTAAAGCGTGGGCGAGAACGCCTTGCTCAGGAGGTTGAACCTGCACCGGCACCTCCACTTTCAGCGGAAAAGTCTGAACAGTTATCTGTTCTGGAGGAAAAGATAAAGAACTTGCTGGAACAAGTTGAGACCCTTGGTGAAGCTGGAAAGGTGGATGAAGCTGAAGCACTCATGAGAAAGGTGCTGCTATTATCCTGAGTTTTTCTAGTTTCCTATATTGCAAATGATTTTTCCAGAAAGTTTACACACTGCCTCACAATGTTTATTATTGTGCATACCTTTTATTGGATTCTCTATCATACAATTACAGGTACATGAAAGTTGACTTTGATTTATTTAAAATTTCTTTTGACAGGTGGATATGCTTAATTCTGAGAAGACAGCCTTGGCTCAACACCCTCAGAATGATAAAGTGTTAATGCTTGCACAGGAGAAAAAAATGGCACTCTGCGAGATATGTGGTTCATTTCTTGTGGCCAATGATGCTTTAGAGAGGACTCAGTCTCATGTTACAGGGAAGCAGCATATTGGTTATGGCATGGTCCGAGATTTTATCGCTGAGTACAAGGTGAGTCTCCCTTTGAATGGTGAAATACCGAAGCTAAGGGAAAAAGTCATTTCTTTCTCAGAGATTTCAATACATGGACTTTATTTTCAGGAAACTAAGGAGAAGGCAAGAGAAGAAGAAAGGTTAGCAAGGGAGAAAGAAGCAGAAGAACGGAGGAAACAGAGGGAGAAGGAAAATGAGAGTAGAAGGAGAAGTAATTCAAGTGATAGGGACAGGTATCGTGATAGGGATCGTGACAGGGAGCGGGACAGATATCGAGAACGTGATTCAGATCGTGAAAGGTCTAGAGAGTGGAATGGCAGAGGTAGTCGGGATGGAGGGAGAGGGGCGGATTGGAGGTCCAGGAATGGAAGAGATGTGGGCAGGGATAGGTACCGTGATCGAAGCAGGTCACGTTCCCCTGTTAGACATAGTCACAGGAGGTCACCTAGAAGTCCAGTTCGCCCATATTAATGAATTGTGTAGATAGATGTCTGAGCTTTGAAATTTTTTGAGGTAGATTTTCATATCTCTAAGGTTTTATGAACATGTTCATTTGGAGTCTTAATTAAATTTTCATCATGGGAGAAACTCTTTTGCTATCTCACAGCCTTGTTGAGACTATACCATCAATATTATAAGCGGAGAAAAGGGTTGAGGTAGGTATTATTCTAATATTGTAACTCATTTTAAAATTCATTTTAGACTTGAATGAGGTAAATTTAATTTCTGTATGAAACTTTTCTGAGACAATTGTTTTCAGAGTCTCACATCCCCATTTGTTTGGAAGTCATTGTTGGCTACTTTCTGTGTTGTCACATATTTAAGACATCAGACCCGAAAATGAATGCATGATTGATCCACCGCAGCTGGAAGATGATGGTTTTTAATCATTTTTGAGGTAACATATTTATCATCTATATGTCATCGCCAACCGATACAATATTTCCTCCCTTTCTTTCCTCCGTCTTCTATCTGGTTTTCAGTTTTAACCACTCTATTGCAAGTGGTGCTTGTTTGCTATGTGTTTAACTGGGGAGGGAGAAGATACCAATCATGAGATGTGGATAATGTGCTACATGTTGCTCTCGAGGTATTTTTTAGGGGACTCTCCATACTTACTAGAAAATGGTCTGATTTTTCACCCTTGTAATGGTTTCTAATTTTCAAAAGGCTCATTAGTTTTCCCTCATTTCACCCTTCCCCTTTTAGTTTAGCATATCGAAATTTAATATTAGAACTGGTGCAAGCATTACTTTTTAATAATTGGCAGTGAGAGCAAAAATGCCAGTCATTTTTAAGTCGTGGTAAATCTGTAAATTACATTATCATGTGAAATAGGTAGCTTTGGAATCTACTACAGTGGACTGGGATGCAAGGTGTTCCCTTCTTTTGCAATATAAGATTGCAGTTAATCGGTCGATGGAGGTAACTGCCAATCATAATCCGCAGATTAGTGTATTTCTTTTTATAGTTTGCAGGAAGGAAAGGGGGCATATTAATTTGGTGAAGCATGACGCTTCGATATGCGGGCGGTCAATATTTTCTCATGGCAAGCAATGGTTTGTGCAGGGCAACCTTATATTCATCTTGCCGAACTGCTTTAAGAGTGGACAAATTGAATTCCCTTCGCTGACGGGCATCTCATATATTCTTTATCACCTTTGACTCGTTGTAATCTTTACGATATTATTTTAATGACATGCATCAAGGAGTAGTGTTTATGGTACATATGACATGCTTTTCTGATAATAAGATTATTATGGCGTGGTTTGACCTAAAATGAAAAGGGTTTCACTAAAACACCTAAAATGGGGGCTGAAATTATTAAAAAACTCAACATCCAAAACACTTTATAAACATACTCAAAACCCATCATTACACACACTCAAAATTCATTTATAAATACACCCAAAAAATATACAATTGTTGATTTTGGGTGTGTTTCTATGTTTAAATAGTGTTTGGGTATTTTTATAAATACATATCTATGATTGAATTTATTTATAAATTTGTAAAATGAAAAAGCCCTTTCAGTGATCAAGAAAATACTTGAAGAGATTTTGCAACGAAGAAAGAATTTTTTTATTCTGATTTCTCAACGTGAAAGGACAGAATGTCGTTGTGTGAAAACAGGCTCTTTAATGGAACGCAAACTACAAAATATATACATATATATTGCAAAATGTTGAAAACCCAGAATGATGGATGCTTTAATTATCACTTCTGATGCAAAAAACATAAATTCAAATTATTTCTACTAGATAAGGTAAAATTTCCATGGCATGTGAAAGTATCCCACTTTTTTTTTTCACCATGGCGTACAGTTTTTGTGAAGGACAAAGGAGTATAATAGGTACAAAATGAAAGAAATGAAAAAAAATTCCGAGACAAAGATGACTATTCTAGATTCAAACGCCGCATCTTACATACAAGGTTTGCAGTTGGAAGATCAAGCTGATTTCCTGAATCTGACTTGAGAAGATCTTTGAGCTGGTCTCTTGGGGTTGAAAGGCAGGTGTGAAATGTGGCAAGGACCGGAGGAATTGGCATTGACAAGGCAGAAAGAACATTACTTAGATACTCAATGTCAACAGATAACTGTTGCGATCCTCGATCCGTGATGTACTGAATCCCTCGCAGTTGCTCCATGTAAAGAGCAGTGGCACCTTCTGCGACCTTCATACAGAGAGAGCATTATTATAAATTAGAGCATGGGATTAAAACTTTGATAAAAGAATGCCACTAAGATTAAAATTTCCAAACACCTATGAACTTCTCGAGCACTTCTTTTAACCATAACAGAGGACCTCCAAAAGAAGGAAAACCTTATTGACTACCAGATCATTTCACAAATGGGATGCCCGAAACTCCGACAAATTCTATCTATTATTTGGATTTACTACAAAATATTGTAGATGGAGGTTGGTACCTTGAACATCCATTCTGTTGCAAAAAACTGGGCTTCATCATTGTTAGCATCACTGTTGGAGATACCCTCCGCAAGAGGCTCCAACTGCTGTGGTAAAGTAAGAAGATATTCACCAATGCTAGTTACATAGGCCTGAGGGTAAGCACTGAAGGTTGGGAGATGGTAAGCACTTTGTTCTTCAACTGAGGACCATATTGGCAACCGAGAAACATCACTGAGGCGTTGTCGTACTTTAGAGATAAGAACATCATATACAAGTTCATTAACTGTGTCAGCAAATGCGGCAACTCTCTGAGACGCAAGTGGAAGTGCATGAAACCGGGGATCTTTAGACTGCAACGAAAGGAAATGTCAATATTATTACAGACCCAAAGAAACAATGCTCCATTTTCTTAAATTAAATGGCGAGGGAGAGAACAAGAAGACTGAAATGTTAAATCTAATCACACCTGATTTAAAAGGTTAAAGAGTTTTCGAGCCTTCTCAGGAACATCAATGAGCCGCACAGCTGCCACATCCAAGGCAGCCCTTCCACCCAAAGAAGGTTCCCCATTTCCGTCATCAGTAGGAACATGTGACAGGTTTTGGTCCACACTTGAACCAAAAACTGAAACAGAGAGAGTTGTGCTTAATCTAGCAAGAGTAGCTCTCAGTGAAGCTTCAAATACAGAGGATCTGCTAGTTAGACAATCTGCAACTGTGAGGATTTGCAGAGCACCTTGCACAATGGACCACTCCTCCTCATTTGAAATCGAATCAACTCTACGTGCACTTTGGCCATCCTTCTTATCTAATCCCACCTCCTTCTTTGAACCAAGACCATCACTACCATGATCCACTCCACAGACAACTCTTAATGATTTCAGGGTTTCTTGCAAGGTAGAAATATACTGTAACATTATATCATCAATTGCAAGAATGAGCTCATCTGCCTCAGAACCTCCAGTCAAGCTGATGCATCTCTCAACGGCTGCTTCAAGAAGTACAATTACTTGGGGAATGGATTCCTCCATTCTGCGAACTGTTTCACTAAGTTCAATTCCCTGAGCTCCCACACCACGAGTAACAGCACCCCTTAGATCCACCCCAGCAATCTCAGCAGAAAGTATAGCTCGCTCCATCTGTCCATACCTAAAATATATGTTTCATCATTGATCAACTAATAAGAAAAACCCACAATTTAAAATACAACAGCATATCCAGTATTTTGGAAAGACAGAAATCAAATGCTGATCCAAATTAAAACAAATGCAAGTAAGAAAGAAAACCAGCTTCTCTTGCTCCCAAGGCAACTCTAAACAAAAATGGGATGCCAGGCCTGAATGACCACTTCAAATTTGGATCTTTCTTACCTCTGTTTAAATGATTCATATGGAAGATACACTGCCTTTAGTGTATCCATTAAAACACGGAGATCAGATTCTGAAAACAAGTGCTGAATATTCCTTGCAAAGGTCTGGGTCATGTTGTGTAATTCAATCAAAGCCGCCAGATGCTTTGTCTGGATCTTGATACCCTTTGGCATATCACCAGAGAGAATATCTAATATACCTGCCGATATAAAGTAAGGAATGTGAGATATGATAATCAAGAATTAATCCACAGAGAGAGAGAGAGAGAGAGAGAGAGAGAGAGAGAGAGAGAATGAGTACAAGTTTTGAGTGAAGAAAAGTTGGTAACGGAACAACATGGAAATGAAATTCCAAGTTACCCATTCTCATACACAACAAACAAATGGAATGATCAAGCAGAATAAGTCTCTGATCATATCATGTAAAACAACACATCTAATACTAACAAAAAATAAAGTCAAATGCAAACCTTTTGCTAATGATTTTGTTTCAGGAATAACATCTCCGGTCGCAAGGTTGATACGAGAAACAAAACTGGCCCCGACAGCTGCCATTGTCTCAACTAGCAGCTTTGGAACAAGAGATTTATAATCCTCAGGAAAGGCAACCGTACACCTGTACACAGCAGTTAAAGCTACTTTTGTATTCCATGGCTGAAAAATAAAATTCTATAACATCATCATAAATCCATCCTGAATTTTCCTTTTTGTGCTTTACAAGGATACAAATATCAAACTTTTATTAACATACTGTAAAGGTCACAATAGGGAACATGAATATGCAGAAGCCTAGAAAATGTGCCTTGTCACCAATCATGTGACAGTTTGCACTGAGAATTATATATGAATTCAATTTCTCATCATAAAACATCAATAATTTTTTATTATGTAAGCACTTCCACAACAAACAGGATAACAAAACCATTTTTATTATAATGATCAGATGAAGTATCAAAACTTTAATTGGAACATATATCAGAATCAACTTGGGAAATATGAAGTTACTGTTTTTACTGAACAAAAGACTCTCCGAATCTAAAGTCTGGGAATCAAAGAGTGAGAAGAGTACCACTTCCATTCTTGTTCAAGATAAAGTAGCAGCTCATCATAGAAATTTGGAAGCCAGCTGGAGAATAGAATTGCGGGAGCAGTTGATTGAGATTCACTAGTAGTGGATAGCCTTTCAACTTGAGATTTCTCAGTAGCAAGCTTATTAGGCGGTGGTTGTTTTGAGTCAAAATCTTCCCAGAGCTGCTTTATGGGCTTTAGGTGAACTTTTGTATAATGTAATTCCATGGACTTGAATCTCCCAATTCGAATGAGAATTCCACGCAAATCTTGAGCAATGTCAACCTGCAAATACATGTACCAATTATCGTGTTCATCACGAGTCTAGATGAAAAAGGATATTTGTTGGGAAATAATAGAAAGCAAACAATTGATTCAGAAAAAGTTGTGAATTGTGACCTTGCGATTGGATATTGCATCTGTTAGACGTGGTTGCACCATTGAATCAAGCTTATCCTCTAAGACCTCAAGTTGCTTCCTTATGTTAGCAAATTCAGCAACCTAAAATCATGGGTTTTATTATTGAAATCTTTCAATTCCACCAAATCTATCAAATTTGCAAACCAAGGTGGTATTGAATTAACTATAAAAACCAAATCTTTCAAAACATAATAAGCATTACCTCCCCAACAGCAGATAAACAATGCCTCATGCTGGCTAAATGTTCGGCAGCGAGAGGAAGATCACCACTTGCAAACACGTCCTCCACGGTTGCACTCAGTTGAGTTAACCCAGCAGCATCCTGCAATGTCTTATATGCAGCTTCCATCCTCTGCTTCACTATATCAACTTTCGCAAGCGCTGCTATAGACTCAGCTGAGGATCCCTCTGCCTGCACAATGCACATGATTGATCATTCAATTTCCAAACCGCCGTCCAATTTTCCCACGTTTTTCAGCAACCAAACAGAACTGAACACAAAAGTGGTTGGTGTCTACCTTCTTGAGCTTGTCGAGGATGGAGGAGACGGCCGAGCGGAGTGTGACGGCGTCGTCCCGGAGGCGAACGACGTCACGTGTGGCACGTGGGACGCGGAGGAGGGAGGAGGCGCTCTGCTCCTCGAGCGAAGCTGCGATCTCCTCCGACACCATCTGGAGCTTCATCTCGAGATCCACCAGGTGCTTGTCGACTGAGTCCTGTGGGTGCCGACTTTGACACGCCGAGTTCACCCACTTCTTCGGGTCGAAGTTCGGGTCTGAGAACGGACCCAGATCCAGCATCATGCTTGCCCAGTTCACTGAATCGGGTCCGGATCGGACTGGTCGAATCGGTTTCAAGTCTCGGCTCCAAAATGCCAACTGCCAATTTCAAGCTCGGAAGTTACTTCATGCGATGTCTACTGATCGAATCCTAGAGCTGAAGAAGATGAAC